CTAACGAGTGGCCTAAAGTCAAAACGATTTAACCTATTGAATATTTTCTACAAACGTCACACACATACACACGTATGCACGCATGCACGTATGTACAATACAAGAAAGAAGGTTTGTATATATGTATAAATAAATAAATGTTTAGTAAAAGAGGAGGATTTATGATTTTACGAAAATGCTACGTCACGTGTGTGCAGTTGCTCGCGCGCGTGCGTGCGTTCATGTTAGCGCGTGCGCTCGCGGGAGCGCATGCACGCACTCACGCACTTGCGCGTGTGCAACAAGCAAATCGCTTAATCCAAACGCAAAGGAGTGGAACGCATTGTGGAGTTTCGAGCGGAGGTGCGTGGAATGGACGTTCCGGTTTATCAGCGCATACGGCATGTCGCGGCGTGTTTCCATTAATTCGCGTTGCGAAGTAACCTCTCTCTCTCTCTCTCTTTCTCTCTCACTCTTTCTATCTATCTATCTGACTATCTATCTGTCTATCTCTCTCTTGCTTTCGTTGCCATTGGAATGCTCGGCGAAGTCGTTAGGCGGTAAAAGGCAGCTTGAAGCCAGCCTAATTTGCTCCTACGTCGCGATTACGCGCGTCTTCGAAGAAAATCTTCCATCTCTTTTCTTTTTTTTTTAACTTTTTAACCTCGAACCTTCTTTTGCTGGCAAAACGAAAGCTAACAAGAATAAATAGTAGCATTTCTTTCTTTCTCTTTTGTATCATAGATTAAATTAATGTACAATTCTGACGTGTGTGAGAATCAAGAAGTGAAAATTAGGACGAAAATTTTCTAAAATTATTGCCTACTCTTTAAATTATATATAGTATAGTGTTATATTATGTAAATGCGTTAATTATTGCATAATGATTAAATATATATTATTACGAATTTATTCTATGATTTAACGATAAAGTATATTATGAAGAATATTAATGATTGGATTTTTAATGTAAAAATAATGAATATATAATAACGTTACCAAAATATTCGTTGAATATTGATCGTCTCTCTGACACGATCAGAGTGTAACTAACTATTACGTATGTATTTATTTATGTATATGTCGCTAACGTAAGAGACGAACTTGAGATAGAAACTCGGAGGTCATATCCTCGGTCAACGATTTTATACAAGTATACATAGATACGTTCCTCGATAGAATAACCCGTAAGCTTACACGTTATACGTTTTTTGATATATATCAATCTCGTTTTTTACATTTATGTTTTTTTAGAAATAAATATAACGAATGTATATGCGAGTATTTATGAAAGTGGCCTAATAAGTAATATAAAATGTAAAGAATTAATTTATGATTAATACATATGGATTAATTGATAAATTTCGAATCTAATTTAGAAACAATTTATTTTTTATTATAAAAAATAAAAAACATGAGAGAGTGAAGCTCACAACTTTTCAACCAAACCTTGTAATAATACAATTTGAATTTATAATTGACTAATTATTAATGAAATAATGGATGTGAATAATTTAAATAAAATTTTGATTAAGCTTAGCTCACTTTTATAATTACTGAAGCATAAATTCAAATTGCTATAGATTTATTGTATATATATAACAACGACCAAATGAATAAGATCGTTTCAAAATGATACAAATTATATCATTTGCCATTCTCGTATAAGCAATATGACGATTAGAAATTTATTCAATATATTTTCCTGTAACTATTTTGTAATAATAAATCATCGATCTCTTATAAAATACTTATCTACGGATAAGGTGAGAATTCGCGAATTTAGAAACACCAATAGAAAGAGAGATACCTGTTTTCTGATGTGTATATGTGTCGGTCGAGGCTTCTTGAGCCGGAACATTTCCATTAATTCGCGTTGCAAGACAAACTCGTGCACCATAGGAATGTCGTTCCGTCGACTCGTTAGATACACCACCGGGGAATTCGAAATAACGTGATTTGCTTGTTGTAATTCAATTACGAATCCTCGTGTTTCTTCTTACGGTGACTTTTGATTATTTTAGTCTTCTCGTCTACGATTACACCGCGTAACGATACAAATCCATGGATGTTGTTCTTAAATCAAAAGCGTGGGATGTATTATATACAGTACACCAACAATCATACTAACCACCCGTACGAGAAGGTAAATCTACCTATGCGTGACTGAAAGCCATCGAGTGATCGTTATCGAGATTGTCGACGCGTTTGACTTCGTTCTTTACTTCATCCCATTGGGAGAGATGGGGGTATACTTTAAAAGTACTTACCAATTTTTCCAAATAATTATTTCTATATTTTTCATCACAAGAAATATTAAAAATTTTCAATAAATAAATTCGTACGAATTGTTTGCCAGATTTTATATTTGCATTTAAATTTGCATTTGCATTTACATTTGCATTTGTTTTGTTTTGCGAAAAATAAGAGGTAATTATTTTATCACGGGAAAAGATTTTTCATTTTGCAATGATTTTTTTTTTTTTAAATCGGATTCGTGCCATTGACCCGAGTCAAAGAGGAAACCTTGATAAAAAAAAAATAAAATAAAATAAAAAGAAAAGGACGAACGTGAACTCGGCGAAGCATATCGTCCCATCTTCTCTTTCCTCTAGAGACTTTATCATCAAGTATATATATACGTGTGCATAAATATATAGCTTAATAAACGTGACAGAAATTTATATACGACTCGATGAGAAATGATACAGAAATTGAACGAATTTATAACGATTTCATCAATTTGATAATATTATAAATCATATACAAATTACAATTATTTATTTAATTTCAAACGTGTTGTATAAGGCTGTTATGCAAATAATATTAAAAAAAAAAAAAAAACAAAGTTAGGACAAATAAAATGATATGTTAAAATAAAATGAGAATACTCGTTAGAACAAAATTCTCTCAACGTTCATGGTACGCAACGCAAAGTACGCAAAAACAAATAAAATAAAATCCCCTAAGAAAAAGAAAATAAATGAGATAAAGAGAAAGAGACAGAGACAGGGATACCCGCAGAAGATCTTTCAACGTAAAGAGGAAAAGAAAAAGAAAAAAAAAGGAACGAGGAAAAACGAATGCCTCCGGAAGACGATAGATCTCAACGGGTTTATCAAATATTTTCCAGAGAACATAAGCGGGCGCGTGAACACGGATTCGTTTAATTCGAAGCGCGACCAGGTGGATCGGAAGAAGAAGAAGAAGAAGAAGAAGAAGAGTTAACGTTGCGTTAACGTTAACATTAACATTAAAATTAACGTTTACGTTTAAGTTGCATTCGTATTAGTATACACACAAATACTCACTCACATCTATATTATTGTATATGTAAATGTAAAGTTTCGCTCATATAAAAGTTCGGTTCGGTTCTGCGTACGTTCCGCTTTATCAGCGCGTACCGGCATGCCGCGGCGTGTTTCCATTAATTCGCGTCGCGGGGCAAACTCGTGCCGTTGGAATGCCCGTTGAAGGGCTCGAGAAGGAGAGGAGAGGAGAGAAGTCGTTAGGCTGCGTGCCGTTCTGTTCCTTTCCGTTCTGTTCGCGTTCAAGTCCGGGCAACCGGTTTTCTCATCGGTGATTCGTCGTTAATTCGCCGGCAGAAAGAGTAAGTAATCGCACGCGCGTACCCAACGACCACCTCGGGTGTGTTACACGACTGCGTTTACACTAAGAAAGAAAGAAAGAGACAGGTTGTTGGGCCAGGGTTGCATTGCGTCAGGGTTACGGGGGAAGAGGAAGAAAGAAAGAGGAAACTAACTACAAGCTGAATTTACTCTATGTTTTTGTTGTACTTTTATACGTTTTTTTTTACAGATCATACTCCGATCTGTTTCTTCTTCCATACCTTTACACCTTTACATTGTAAATGGACCTTTTTCAATTAACAAGGGTTTGTTAGATCGGGTACACGAATAATCCGGGAATTGTTTTATTTTTTTTTTTTTAGAAGTGGATGCATAAATTTGTTTTTTTATTCATGTGTATCAAACATATATATATATGACAATTTATTGATTTTTTTGTCGGATAATACGCGCATATTTTTTAATTAACGTGGCTCGTTATTTATTTTTAAGTTAATTTTTTTATTTTATTTTTGTTACGTGTGTTACTCGAATGAATATTCATATGAAGAGTTGGATACACATTTGATTGTGGTGTATCAACATTTTTCAATCTTTATTTGACTCGTATATTTTAATTAACACGATTCATTACTTATTTTTTAATTATCTTTTAGGTGCATGCATTTCATGCATGATTCTGATTTTTTTTGAAGAGATAGGTGTATTAGTGTTGCATGATTCTGATTTTTTTTGAAGAGATAGGTGTATTAGTGTTGCATGATTCTGATTTTTTTTGAAGAGATAGGTGTATTAGTGTTATCATTTTTTCTTTTTTATGTGAATTACAGTGAAGTAATGAAGGAAGAAATTAAATAAAAAAAAGATGTGATATGATGTCTTAAATGTTGATTTTTCGAATAATATGTTCATGGTGATACAATAAATGAGGATACGATTATTATGGTAACACAGTTTCTTGAAATTATAATCTAGTTTCTTGTTAATATTTGTTAGTTTTATTATCGATGTGAGATATCAAATTTCTAATTTTGTATCTGTATATGTTCATTATCTCATGTTGAGAATTATCGCATCTACTTTTCTATATTACTCTTTATTAATCATTATCTTATATTACCTTATTTGAAAATATAAAACCAAAAAAAAATATGTTGAAATAATTTCTTTGTTAGATGTCCTAGTTGCATTATCATTATTATTATACGAATTAGAAAATTTAGTTGAAAATTACTTTCTTACAATCGGTTATAATATAAGATTACGTTATCTAAGATTAAGTTTCTAATGTCGTTACGTTAAAAAAATGTTTTTTAAGAGAATAAATATAACCGAACACGAGCTTAATCGAAAAGCAAAGTTCATACTTATCAAAGATTATTGTCAATAAGGATAGAGAGAAAGTGTTTAGTTTACCTATGAATCACTCACCAAATAGGTTCGCCAGCATAGAACCGGAGACTCCGTCTAAAATAGAAAGAAAAAAGAAAATATGTTAGAATTACGAGTTATAGATTGGATAAGATCGATGATTACGACTTGAAGATCTCACTTCATATCTCTTTTCCATTTTTTTTTATTTTTTTTTTTTATCTCCTCTTTTCTCTTCCTTTTTCTTTTCTCTTTTCTTCTCTTCTCTTCGACGTAGGCGATAAGCAAACACACGCTCATTATTTCGCTCTTGAATTTTACGATGAGGTCCAGCTCGTGTAAACGGGTGTTCACACTTTGCGTTACGTGTAAACGTTGAAAGTATCGACAGACGACGAGTTCTCCAAATGGTATTTTATGTATTAGTGTATGTGTGTGTGTGTGTATTAGTGTTCGGTGATGTTTAAGCACAGACACATAAATTTAAATACTAATCAACCGTATATACATAAGTACAAACATGCATATCCTATGAAAATATATTCACATGTGAGTGTAAATGAAACACGTGTATATATAAGAATTCCATACACACGCATACACATAGAAAAAACAGACAGACAGACAGATAGATAGATACACATGTGTATATATATATATATATATATATATATGTATGATTGTATAGATTTAAAGAGAATGTTGAGAGAGAGAGACTCACATTACATACACTCACGCACGTAGTTATGTTACGCCTAGCCGTATCATTATATTTTACTTTACCCAACGCGAAAAGCCCCGGGGATAATTTGCGCGAACGAGCCGTAATTATTTAAAGGGTGTGCATAGGTAAAAAGGGTGGTGGTGGTCAAAAGAGAGAGAAAGAAAGAGGTGTGGGGTGGGTGGCGGCTTTAGATGGTTACCGCGTTACTTCGCTAGCTTGTAAGTAAGTATTTATCGATTCGCCGCGTCGTCTCCGACGCCACGTCGACCTTTTTTCGATGTTGTTTTTACCCCTCTTTCATCCTCTTTCCTACATTATGAATCTTCTTACTATCATTCAATCAATTCCAATCTTACGATGATACTTGTACAAATTTTATTTTACATACTACTTATCCCTTATCGTGAGAAATGAAATTTGCATGAATCTCATTCGTAATAATATCGAAGATTATTATTAAAAAAAAAAGGAAAGACGAGGGTTTTATTCTGTTAACCCATTATTCACTAATGGCATTTTTTTGGGATGCATTTTCAAATGTTTTTTTTTTAATAACTGCAATATTCGTTAAAATTATGAGATCGTACCCTTCGTGCTTTATGAAACTATTTTATTTTAAATTAAAAATAATTCATATAAAAATTAATTTTCATATTTAAATAATACAAAAAAAAACAATTGCTGCAAAAATATTTCATATTTGGTTAATATGAATATCATTGTATAGTTAATTTAATTTTTTATTTTTAATTTTCGTATTGTGACGGATAATGGGTTAAATTGATAATGCGTATAAAACATTCCCCATCTTCCCCCCCCCCTATACAAATAAAATTTCTTTTCATCCACATTTTTTAATTCATCTTTCTTTGCGTCTAAAATATCTAGCGAAAGAGTAAAAAAAAAAAAAAAAAACAAAAGATGCAACAATTTTGGAAACGATAAGTTCGCGTAAAACAGGTGCCCAACGAGTTACTAGAAACCGTGAACACGTGAATTGTACTACTAGCTCCTAAAGAGAAGAAATAGAAGAGATCTAGAAGCAAAATAAAAAAAAGAAAGAAGAGAAAAGGGCTAACGTATTGTTGTAGTGGTTACGTCTGTGCGTGCATTTAACCTCGTGCACACATTACGTAGCACACACACATACATACACATACATATTATACATATGTAAGTATAAGTTGAGACTGGACTTCGAGACGGTTCGAAGAAGGTAAATGTGAGTCTGTGTATGTGTGTGTGTGTGTGTGAGAAAGATAGAGAGGGTGGAAACGGCTCGAAGCAGCTCGTGGGGTGATTATGAGCGAGTAAGTGCCGCCGTCCAGTTTTTACCCTCTTCCAACCAACAACCCTCGCACACCCTCTACCACTCTCTCTCCTCCACCCTCCCCCTTCCCGGTAACCCCTTTTGCCCCTACTGACCGGCCGTTTCTTTCCCGCAGCGACTACCCTCCTTCTCCACCCCCTCATTCCTCCTCCCTCTACCAACCCTCTTCATCCTTCTACGACGCCACTCTTACCACCCTCGACTCGACTAAACCCCCAACGGATCAATACGTTAAAACATTGCCACGTCGAGCCACCGTCGTGTAAAACACGAAAGAAATCCGCCGGGGTGTTTTCCCTTTAACCGCTAACGCAAAGAAAAAGAGAGAAATAGAGAAAGAGAGAAAGAGAGAAAAATAGAGGGAGAGGGAGGGTACAATGTTTTTTCTGACATTCTTATCTTAACCAATATTGGTTTTTAGAAAAAATAAAATTTTCCAGGTATCTGTTAGGAACATTTTTGAAATAATCGTCATTTATAATATTTACCATTTTAATTTATAATTAGATATGAGTTTAAACTTTGTTAGATTAACGTTGTTTAAAATACGTGTATTTTCAATATGATCGGATGTATAACTAAGATATAGAACATATCTGTCTTATTTGATAATTTAAAAAATAAAGATGATAATATAGACTTTCTTTTTTATCGATGATTATCGAATCTATCGATGATAAGAAAAATTAACAGACTGGTAGGAGGGAAGGGCCAAATGTGTACAAATCCTATAAGAATGTTCATCTTAAAAAAAATAAGAATAAAAAGAAAAACACACTCCATTTCATTTTCATTTTTCTTGTTTACTTTTCCTCTCTCTCTTACTCTTGTAAGAGTTAAAAAGTGAGTTCTTTGCCCTTCGAAGTAGAACGGATTCAGCACAACTCACATACACACACTCTTTCTCTCTCTCTCTCTCTCTCTCTCTCTCTCTCTCTCTCTCTATCAGTAGACCTTCGAAGGGCACGAAAGACGAATGAACGAAGGAACGAACGAACGAACGGACGTCCGTGGCCTACCGCAACCCACGTAAGACACCGATCAAATCCCCCAACCTCCCTCCCACCCCCATCTAACTTTCTCTTTCTCTCCTTTTACCTTCATACCATAGAAAAAAAGAGGAAAACGAGAACACGCGTTTCCGAACTACGACGACAACGACGACGTATGTTCGACGTGCCGTTTCCCGTCTAAAAGGAATCGATATATCGATCGTCTTCGACGTACGGTACGAACGAACGAACGAACGGCTGGCTGCCTGCTGGCATGGTCGACGACCACGCGGAAAAATAAGAGGGAAAAAGACAGAAAAAGAACAAAAATAGATAGAAAAAGAAAATGTGATAGAAAGAGAGAGAGAGAGAGAGAAAAGCTCTGAGGCCCGCGGCAGCACTACTCTGTTGTCCGTGTGCGTTCTGCCTTGTGGTCACTTGTTGCCTACCACCCCCAAGGGGGGTTGGCCTTGTCCCTCTGTGTTTGGGGAACGCTTGTCGTCCAACCGCCGACAAACCGGACGAGATGGTGCTCCTCCTCTCCCTCCACACACACACCACTGTCCCCTCCTTTCCCTCTCTACTGCCCCTTCTCAACCCTCGTTCTACGTTCTCATCCCTATCCTAAAGATATTCTCTATTTCTTTTATCCCATCGTATTCCAAATTTTACCTTTAACCTATGATGCTTCTAACTTTTTCTAGTATTTTATTCACGTATGTTTCTTATTCATGGCAAAACTTTGATATATTATTATTGATGAAGGTACTTTAAAAATTGATAATATTGAAATTGTTAATTATTAGATTTATGTGTTGGGGATAATATTTAATTTAATTAGTTCTATGTTTTTTTTTGTGTGGTAATGTAGTAATTATAATGTTTTGGTTAGGTAAATAATATTAAATTTAGATTAGAAGAAATTAGAAATAAATATAAATAATATTCGTAATTTGTATATTATTAATATTAATTTGAATTATATAAATAATTATAATTAATTTTATTAAAATATGTAATATAAAAAATAATATTAAAGTTTTTAATTATTAGATTTGTGTGTTAGGGATAATATTTAATTTAATTAGTTATATGTTTTTTTAAATAATATTAACTTTTAATTATAAAAAATAATAATTATAAATTATTAGTTATTTTGTATGTTATTAATATTAAATATTTAAATAATTTATTTAAAAGTTTTTGCATTCTTCAGAATAACCAATTACATCATTTCTTTCTATCTTTTTCTATTACTCATTTAATTCTGTTTTATGGTTAATATTTTCATTTCCAAGTATTAAAATATTTAGAAAATTATTAGACACCTATCAAAGTTTTTACATCTATAATAAAATAATCAAATTAATGTTCAATCTTTTATAGGATGAGTAGAATTTAACCTAAGAAGAAATACAATATTATTCTTATTATTATTAGAGTTTTAACATAATGTTTATGAGTTGTAAGAAAAAATTAACATTTTTGACGGTATGATGTTTTGTATAAAACATTAATTTAAATAAAAAATAAAGAACAAAATTACTAGTACAACTACACGTTATATTTATTTATTTTGTTAATATAATTTCCAATTTTTTTTTTTTTTTTTTTATTAAATATTTGTCACACGTTTCTTCATCATTGATTCGTTCGTAGCAGAGAACATCGGGTAGTGTTATCTCCGTCGCGTAATAAAATCGGAAGGGAACTAGGAACTCGCACGTCCACGAGATTATCGTTATCTCCGGCGTTGTGTCGTTGGGACCGGTCGAACGGTAAGATAATAAACGTAGTCTTTTCTCTTTCTCTCTCTTTCATTAGTTTACTTTCTTTCTTTCTCCTATACGAAGAACGAACCGGTGCGTTTCCTTTTTTCGAGCCGTCCCGACGATAAACACAGATGTCTTCGAAAAAAGGGGGAGGGGTGGGAAGGGGGGGTTGAAAAAAAGAGAATACTTTCTCTTTTTCTTCTTCTTCTTCGTTCGTTCGTGCCTCGCCCTTTATCTTCTATTTAAGGTCGAAACGTATAATCATCGCCTTCAACAGT